ATGAAGCGGCTTTCTCTCCCGTCCCACCAGTCCAAAAGGTTCGGCAAGGGTGACATAATGGGCGTCATCTCGGACCAGACCAAAGGTTACAAGGTCTTCTACCCTGGCACCCACCAATACCACTTTGAACTACCCATAGACCACCACCAGCTCGAGACGACGAAGCTCCAGTACGGTTCTGTCAAGTGGGAGCTGCACGCGACGGTTGAACGTGCGGGTGCCTTCAAGCCCAACCTCCACGGCCAGAAGGAGGTGTTTATCGTTCGGGTGCCTGACCAGCTCTCGCTCGAGATGACGGAGCCCATTTCCATCAGCAGGCAGTGGGAGGATCAGCTTCACTACGACATTATCATTTCTGGAAAGTCCTTTCCCATCGGCACCAAGATTCCCATCGCCTTCAAGTTGACACCACTTGCCAAGGTTCAGGTGCACAAGTTGAAGGTCTTCTGCACCGAGTCAATCGAGTACTGGACCAATGACCGCCGCGTTACCCGCAAGGATCCTGGCCGCAAGATACTGCTGTTCGAGAAGGCCGCCGGCAAGCCGCTCGACCCCAAGTACGCCTCATCCGACGTGCGCGTGCTGAGCGGCGGCGAGCTTAGCCCTCGCGAACGCCGCGAAGCTCGTCAGGCTGCCGCCATGCGCCGGTCCGTAGAGGCCTCGAGGCACAACGCCATGCCACATCCCCTGCCTGAGCCGTCGGACAACCTGCTCGGCGACCTGGACCTGGGACTGGAGAGCTACTGGGGCTCTACAGAGATTGAGATGAACGTGCAAGTTCCTACGTGTGAGCAGATGGCGAAGAGCAAAGAGCTGCGTCTCAACCCCGACTGCAGCTGGAAGAACGTCAACGTGTATCACTGGATCAAGGTGAGTCTGTTCCACTGTCATGTCACTACCAATGACTAACAAACTTACGTAGATCGTCATGCGCATTTCCCGCCTCGACCCTGAAGATCCTACTGGCACGCGCCGCCGGCATTTCGAGATCAGCATTGACTCGCCATTCACAGTTCTCAACTGCAGGGCTACGCAGGCCAACACGTCGCTGCCCGAGTACACCGGTCTAGGCCTTGATCCTTCGCAGGGTAGGCAAACCTCGTGCGGATGCCCCGACGCATCCGCCATCGAGGCCTCGCCCAACTCGTCGACCGGCACGTTGCCCTCGGTGGATGCTGGTCTCGACGCCATGCCAGCGCCTCCCCAGCCGGCTCATCTCACATCGGCACACACGCAGAGCCCGAGTCCCACTGGAAACGGCAGGGACTCGCCCCCTACATCTCAGAACCAGTCAATCGACGTATCGGACATGTCGGCACGCCCTATTCACCTTCTGCGCGTGCCCTCGTACAACCCGCCTGCGTTTGACGAGGATCAACCGCCTCCGGCCGCGGTCAACACTGTGGCCCAGACTCCGCCGCCGCAGTACGACGTCGTCGTCGGCACCCCCAGTGTCGATGGCTTGGCGGATTACTTTACACGACTGGCCGACTACGGCTATGACGGTCGTGACGATGACTCGGATTCGGCCGATGAAGGCCCCGAGAGTATTATGGAGCGTGGCGGACGTGTCAACGTGGCACACCCGCGCACGCCTGGCGCACCGCGTGCTCCTAGCAGAAGCATGGAGATCCAGCGTCCAAACCTGGACCTGGTGCTGCCGAGGGCCAGTGGGGCCTTGTAAGAGCTGTTTGGGATGAACATTATTCGTGCCCAGGAGTCGATGGGAGTTTTTTTTTTGTCACTATGCCGCCGCCGGGGCAAGGCTAACGCTTGGGTACGATTGGCGCACATTGAGTTGGTCATCCGGATGCATTGGAGCTCAGGGAACTGGCGTTCGGCCTGGCTTGCAGGTGAACATGTGGGCGGAGCGCATCAGCCGTGTTACTACTATATATGTGAACATAACCAACAAGCATATACTGCCATGTTTGGAACATGAATAAATTTTGCCATGTCATTGCCTGGCTCATGTGATGTTGTGCCTTGCTGTGGAGAGTGAGCTGGGCAAGAATCATGAGATGAGAGTCGGCGCACCCCTGAACGACTTCTGGAAGCTCACAGGCGAGCCATCGCAAGCGCTGCCCTAGTTTCGTGAAAAACATTAGTCGGAGTCCTCTCAACAAGGTGAGGCGGACAGCCACGAGTCTTCGTCGATATTGGGAACAAGGGTTAGCAAAGGTGCCAGCGTACATGTACGGCGACAATCCTCAGGCACTGGCAAGGAATTGGGAAGAAGAGGGAGAGATTTCTGAAGAAGAGGGAGAGATTTCTGGCAAGCTTCATGCTCGCTACACGTGCAGAAGCAGAAAAGACTGTAAAAGCCACAAGCACAAATCTCAAGTGAAAGCTCAACCAGGCCGTGTATCGGATAGGCAGTAGCGTTCGTTTCGGTGCACCATCAAGGGTGGAGGCATCGATGGCATCCAAAGCACTCTTCTTCGCGGCAAAGAAAAGTACTGCATGTTTCGGGACGAACAGAAGACACGGAGATGACTTCCCAAGCAGCCGTGGCGGTATGCCTGGCAGTCCCCGTCCTTTACCCCCTCAGTGCATCAGACCCGAGATGCGCAGCGTCCATCGTGCTGCTGGACGTCCAACTGCCGGGCTCCTACTTTTTTTTTTCTTTTTTTTGCTCTTGTCGAAACGCGCAGTGATCGACGACTAACATGCGCCGTCATGGTGTACCCTGGTCTGCTCCACGGGCATGCATCCCGGCGCTCTGGTGCGTCGGGGACCGGCCGCATCTCGCCGGGCCAGCTGGTGCCTTTCGAGTTTCACTTTTCGGGCTTTACGGCAGATGATGGGCCGCGGTTATGAGGGTTGGGTGAAGAGCTTCGAGCGGGCATGCTTCTTGGGTTGGTGCATTTACCGTGGCGATACGAGTAAAGACGACATGGTCTTTGAGGCTGCGTCTACTAGGCCCGCCAGGTTCCGAGGAACCGGACTGAGGAGCAAGGAGTCTGGCTCGCTACATATCAGAGAGTAAAAGAAGTAGTCGGATGCCGAAGCACAGCAGGCAGAAAGATTCCGAACCAGGGAATCAAACCCTGAGCCTGACGGTGAGAGCGTCAAATGTTAGCCATTACACCAGTTCGGAAGTTGATGACCGGCCAGACTTGATGTATTATGTTCTCTTGGGGAGGGCGGTGGGGTTCGCCGGATCTACTGTCGTGACTCGCGCGGCGCGTTGGCCCATGTTCTGGAATCAAATACAATCAGTGGCTCTGTGCCTCATGGAAAAGATAGCTGTCATGGATTCAAAAAGCTGCCATCCCATGCCCTGCAACTTGGCTTGCATCCCAAGCGAGCAGCTGACGTCCAAACAAGTTCAGCCGGCGCACTGACCGCGCCCCCTGCAGCGGCTCTGGCTGTCAGGGCTGTAAGAAGACAACATGTCAGAGGCAGATGGGATGCCGTGGTCTGGATTTCCTCGTGGGGAATCCAACAAGTGCAGGAGGTGGTGGCGTGTAGAGGCAAAGCAAACAAGACAGAGGCAGGGCCAAGCACAGTCTTATCTGATGGCACTCGCCCATCGTGCGTCGCCCATTGTCAATTGACATGTCACAACTTTGACAAGCGCGTCATCGATCTGCATGGGACGGGCACGGAATGGATGGGGTGATCGCCGCTCGCCGCGACCATCCAGCGGCCTCTGCCACGTGAAAGAGGGTGACAATTGGGCTGCCATCACGACCATGTGGCTCCCGCTTTGGACTTCGAGGTTGCACTGGACCTCGAGGTTGCACTGGCAAGACTGGCTTGTCTGGATCTCGACTGAGCCATCTTGGCGAGTGCCTCGAGATCCCTGCCGCGAGGCCATCCTGACACAAAGGCTGTTGCGGCCCCCCGCCACGCTCGGACGTTCGACCTCGACCCCAAGTCCCAAGTCGCGATGCTGCGGGATGTGGAGCGGCGTAGCGAGACGTGACGTCCAGGGACACCCCAACCTGCTCGCCCTTTTCATCTCTGATATTCCCTTTTCTTGTCTGGAAGGGGGAACGGATCTCGAGGTTCCCTTGCCACCGTTGTGATCGCGCGCGCGCGCGCCTTAGATGAGAGGAGGGGGGGGTGGTGTTACCAGGGCCTGTTTGACAGGTTGCTTTCCCTCCTGTCCGAACGTGCATGCTACCCGGTTTCTCGTTCTGTGTTGGGCATGTTTAATGTGAGATGATCGAGGCCAGTCTGACGCAAGAAAACGCTCTCCCCCTTGCGTCCGGCTGATGGCTTTCTTTGCGACGAGCTGTTATAATGTCCATACTCTAAGATCCTCCTCCCCACCCCCCGCTGCCCGCTGCCCGCTGCCCGCTGTCCGCTGTTTCCCATCCCATCCGATAAGTGGCCGCTGATCGTGCGTTGCGTCGTCTCGCTACCGGATTTCCTTGTTGACGGGGACCGGGCTAAAACCGAGAGCACAAGCCCAATACTGAGAAAACACGGGGCCAGACGACGACTCTCTCTCTCTCTCACACGAGCGCTCACAAAATGCCCA